GATGCAACTAACTGCGGGCTCTTTCCCGTGAAAGCCCTGTACTGACTGGGCTGCCCCTGGGCCTTCTACGCGGCCCCCGGGCCCACCGCCTCCGAGAACTGTCAGCCCTCAGCCTCCTGACCCTGTGTCTGCACATTTGCCTACTGCTGGCCTTCACCTGTGCCACCAATCAGTACACATTTTTGTAGTCAATTTTGGACAGAGTGACAAAATGTACATGTCATCTTATGTGCCAATTTCCAGCTGAGGTGGCACAAGGTGATACGGGCTTCCAGCTGGAGTCTCACTCAGACACAATGCCCTTTGATGGCCTCCTTACTGGCCCATTTCCCCAGTTTGCTTTGTGTTGAATTTGCTGTTTGCAGTGGCCCCAGCCTAGCGCTGTCCAGCCTTCCTGGGGACAAAGGACAAGGGTCAGAGAAGTGTCATGAGGCACAAACACTGGTGCGGGCTGGGGCTTCAGAGTCAATGTGGCCAAAGTTAATACTGTAGCAGATAAGGCCGGGCTTGGGGTTGCACGCCTGTCATCCTACCACTCAGGAGACTGAGGTAGGGGGGTGGTTGCGAGTTCGAGACCATGCTGGGTTTCAAAGTGAACTCAAGGTCATTCTGGAATGCATGAGACCCTGTCTCCAAAAGATCAAAAAATGAAAAATAAATACTGAGCAGGTGTGCACGGCGGCCAGAGGACAGACACAAGGGCCAGAGCCCACTTTCTGTGGCCAAGCTTTGTATTCTTGGATTCCTTGTTCGTGGTGATTGCAGCGAACCTGCTGAAAGGAACAAGGTAACACCACTGTCCGTGGCAGTGAATTTCCTTGGTGGTAAGCTGTTTCACTCCTTCATAGACTGAGTTACAACGTGGCCTTCTAGAAACCATATCTGCTGGTTCGCCAGGCCAGCTGGGCTACATAAGCAAGTTCAAGGCCAGCTTGAACTACATAATGAGACACTGTCTCAAAAAAAACCAAACAGGGCTGCGGAGAGAGCTCAGTAGAATGAGCGCCTGCCTGGCAAGTGCAGGGTCCTGAGTTCAATCCCCGGTACCTCCAAAACAAAACCACCACAACAGCAAAACAAAGAGCCTTCAGTTCATGGGCATGATGACTGGGTGTTCACGCTGTATGCGTGAAATGTGCCTTCTTCAAACCTTGATACGACGTGGGCACATTACCTGGCTGAAGTGAAAAAAAAAGAAAAGAAAAAAGAAAAATAAAGCCACTTGAACCTAGCAGTACAAGGAGGCACTCCGGAGCTGCGAGTTGGAGACCCTGGGCTGCCAAGCTGCCCTGCTGGCACCTCCTCTGCACAGTGCCGCGAGGGGCACTGCCAGGGGCCGCTGTTCCCTGCTTGGATGCTTAGGTCCAGAGCAGAGCTTTCTTAGCCAGAATCCTCCTTGGTTGCGGAGCTAGACTTGAAGCAGGGGCGACAAGCCTCCTTCCTCTGCAGACACCCTCATTGAGGGTCACACAAGCAGGCCCCATCCGTACATCACATTTCTTTCAGGGAATGTCGTTTCCACTCCTTCCTTAACATCTGTTGTGGGTGACGGTTCCTTTGATGGGTACCTGTGTCTGGACGCACCCTGAAGCCCTGAGCAGAGCCCTGAGGAGCCCAACCCTGTGGCTGGGCCACCTTTCTGTCAACACACCAGGCTGCACTTTGCCAGCCTTCCTCACTCTCCAGAGACCCATGCTCTCCACATGATCAGCTCAGCAAGTCTCCCAAATCTGGACCCTTTAAAAAGTGATCCTTTTGCACAAAGATACTATACTTCTTATGTGCTTTGGTCAAATGCCAGTTTTCACAAATTCCTTACAACCCATTTTGATTTTTTTTTTTTTTGTACTGAGAATCAAACTCAGGACCTCACTCACACTTGCCAGGCAGGCGCCGTGCCACTGAATCATATCCCGGGCCTCACAACCCATTTTGAACGATTATCCTGCCAACTATGACATACTAATCCTTCTGAGTTTAAATGCAACAAGCACTTTAACTCAAAACACTGATAAAGAGATTACTCAAGACTGGGCAAGCCCATGTGGTTCAGGAATGTGGCCTGGATTCAAGGCCCAGAACCACCGAAAGGGACAGGGGGCTAGTACTTCTTAGCTTGAGAGGCATCTCGGGCAGTAATAGCATGCCACCCACCAGCTCTTCATAGCAACCTTTCTTGGCCATCACTTAAACCCAGGGCCTTCCCTTAGATCCCCGAGGTGTCTGCCTTCCTCGGTGACCCAAAAGCCAGCTCAGAATGTAGTAACCCTCCAGGAGAGGAAGTGCTATTTCTGGGTACCATCTTACTGGAAGCTGTGACGACCCATTACACGCTCCCTGATATGCTGCGCTCAACCCTTTGTATGGTTAGCTGGGGTCGTGCTTGGTGTTCATGTTGCTAAAACTGTTCACCTCCATTTTGAAAGTCTCCAGATTTGGCAGTCTCTTCTCCCTGGGTAATCTCATTGTAGAAAGAGCAACCAGGAAGCCTAAGTTAGGTGCAACCAAGGGACTCGGAAAACGCCTCACCCAGGTATTCACCACGTCTGCTCCTGCCTCAGCCTCCCATGTGCTGGGATTGCAGGTGTAAGCTGCCACATCCATCTTCTTTTGCTGCCTTTGGCCTTAAATCTGAAAGCTTTGGCACTGCACTGGAAGCTGTCACCCCGGGCCTCTTGCTCCCTTCCCAGGCAGCCCCATGTCTCTAGCCGTCTGCTCCCACGGGCAGAGTCCTCTTGCTACAGCTTGGTGGGATGGAGCCCAGGTTGCCCGTGCTCTCCCAGAGCAGCCTTTTCCATTCTCTGGTCTGCAGCCCCCAACGAGAGCTGGGCCCTGGCACCCTGGCAGCCCGCAGGCCTGCGCGTTCCCTCGTCTGTGATCCCAGCTCCACATTGATGCCCATGAGCAACAGCAGAACTTACGGCAACAGGGAGTACTAAACAGCGCCTGGGATGCATAGAGCCATTATTCGTATCTGGTATTTTAGGCTTATGGGCTTCGATGTTCAGAAGTACATCCCTTAGAAAGGCAAGGAATTCCAGCACTTGGGGAGGCTGAGGCAGGAGGATCACATGAGTTGGAGGCCAGTCTGGGATACACGATGAGTTCAAGGCCAGCTTGGACTACATAGTGAGGCCCTGTCTAAAAGCAAAACAAAAAGTACATCCCCACGTCAATCTCTTTGAAATAAGTATGTGACTATGAGATATATTTTAATAAGGTTTTTGCTTTCCCAATGGTACATAAAGGCACAGCTCAAAATGAACGGCCTTTTAGGTTTGTTGAAATGTGATACCAAGCCAGAAGTCTCAAACAACAGGCGCCTCTGGGTGCGGGGCTTTTTCTCTGTGTCAGTGCTGTGTTGTACTGCACTAAGGAAAAACGCTAGTCACGGTTTGCTAAGAGAATTTCCCCACTCACCGGTGGGGTCACAACCTGCAGGATCAAAACTGCTGAGAACGGTGCGCTCACACGGCCGGCAGGCTTAGGAACTAAGACCAAACCCATTAGCGGGACTTTACAACCCAATTCTCAGCATAAACACGATCCGGCTTCCAAGAAATTGTTGCCCAAGAAGTTGCAAATACTCCACTGCGGTTCAGGGACTTCCTCATAATCTCTTTACAGGGCGCGGGGGCGTGCTGCTGCTGTATACCGGTAAACCCAGCACTCTGGGAGGCCGAAGCGGGAGGATCACAAATTCAAGCCCAGGCTAACTGAGAGACTTAGCAGGTTCCCGTGTCAAAATAAAACATTAACGAAGAGCTGCGGATGGAGCTCAGCACGAAGGCCCTGGGATCAGTTCCCAGTACTGCCAAAGTTTAAAAAGAAAATCTACTTTCTAGGACATACATTACCGACTGCTCCCGACGGCAGTGGCTGTCAACAGGACCCCGCGGCTCACCCGGCAGCTGCCCGTGGGGTCCGCTCCAGCCCTGCTTCAGCTCTCCGCTCCGACACCCACCGCGACCCCCAGCTCCGAGTGGCGGCGCACTCCCGTCCGCGTGCCCGGTGCGCGTCCCCGAGTCGGGCGGGCGGGGCAGATTCCGGAGCGGCCGAGGCGGGGCCCGTGGGGTGAGCCTGGGACGTCGGGACGTGGCCCTGTGAGCCCCGCCCCCGGCCGCGGCCGAGTGCTGGAGACGCCCGCAGGGCGGGGCCTCCGATGTCGGGGCGTGACCCCGCGAGCCGGGCCTCGCCGTTGCGTTCAGGCGCTGGAAATTCTCGCGCGCGGGCCGGAGGCGGGACCCGCGGGCGAGCCTGTGACGTAAGGGGCGTGGCCAGAGGCCCCGCCCTCCCTCGCCCTCTCGCGCGCGCCGGTTTACATGGCGGCGACTGCGGCAGAGCGGGAGCCTCGGAGACGCCGCCGCCGCCAGCTGCGCCGCGGAGCCGAGCCGACGCTGAGGGCCGCCCGCGGGTCCGCCCGCCCCCGATGAG